GCGGCGCCGCCTCCGAGCCGCGGCGCAAGCCCGGCCGCTCTACGAGACACCCGAGAGTCCCCACCCGCCGTGCCCGCGGGACGGGGCGGACGGCGGCCGCGGAGCCCGGGCCGCGCACCCGCCTCCCCGGCCCCGAGCGCCGGGGCCCACCGGTCCCGGCCCCGAAGCAGCGCCCCTGCACGGGCGGGCGCTGGAGGCTGCCGAGCGCCTGAGCGGGACGTCCCGGGTCCCACTGCTGTCCCCAGAGTGACACCCGCCAGGGCAGGGACACCCTGGGGACCCAACACCCACAGGGTGACACTCACSCTGGCAGTCCCCAGCAGCTGCCATTAGTCTCGCCCAGAGACACCATGAAGCCTCCCACCACCCCACACCCCTGTGCTGTCCCCACCACCACCCAAACACGCCCCCACCCTGTTATTAGACATGCAGATTYCCTGTCCCTGGGGAACACAAGGGGGAACAGAAGAGGGAACACAGGACAGAGGTGGGTGCATTGGGGCCTCCACACAGCCTCACCCACCACAGGTGAACACAATGACTGGGTGGCCTCCAGGTGCCCAGTCCCATTTCAGGGTGCCCAGGAATGTCCCCCCATCCCTGGGTTCTGCACCACAGGGGCCTCCAGCTCCATGTGCAGCCCCTCGTCCTCCAGCCTTCCCCAGGGACACCATGTGTCACTTTGCTCTGTCCCCCCCGGGGTGTTGCAGGAAACGGGGGGCCCAGGTACCCAGCTTTGCCCCTTGGTTTGGGGGTTCCTGACTGCAGCCATGTGGGCACCAGGCAATGCCACCCTCTGCCACGGGCTTCATTGATGCCCAGCTGGATGGAGAGCCCCTGTCCCCAAGAGCCCTCTCCAACCCCGGGCATGTCCCCATCCCTAGTGGGCTGAGCCCTGGRCATGGGCAACCCCCAAAGCGGGAGGTCTGGAGGCATCAACGCAGGAAGGGGCAGGGCAGTCCCCAGGGGTGGCTGTACATGGGGATGAAGAGCCCTAGCCCCTGCCATTGTCCCCTCCGCTGTGAGGAGGCACCCCGGCCTCCCCTGCCCTGCTCCTCCATCCTTTCCAGGAGGGCCCTGGGTCTGGTGTCACGGTGACACGCAGCAGCTAGGACACGGTGACACCTAGAAAGGGGTTGCCACAGAAACGAAGGCTCTGTTGTGCACCCGGGGGCTGCAGAGCTRGCTCTTGAGGCCAGGTAGCGGGGACAGCAGAGGTGGCAGGAGGGGGCTCAGGGACAGGGGACAAGGGACTGAGCTGCATTCCCTGGGGACRTTCACTAGGGACATCAAAGTGGCCTCCTGGGGGTAAACTGAGGCAGGGGAGCGGGTGGGCTGTGCTGGGAGCAGGCGGGGGTGTTCGRGTGCACGCGGTTGTGACTGTGCCCTGTGGCGCCTGACAGCGGCAAGGACCGTGGGAGAGGAACAGGCGGCGGAGGCAGCATCCCGCTGCCATGGTGACCGCAGCGGTACCAAGGCAACAGGATGGCCTTGGGGACATGAGGGAGGGCGGCACCGGTATTGTGCTGGCCTTGGGGACAGCAGGGGGGCCACGGGCTGGAAAGGGGAGGAAGGAGGGCATTGGGGCATGGGACAGGGGGCTCAGTCCCACCTGCTGGGACCTGGCACCCCCCAAGCAGAGGCAGCACCTGTGGGCACATTGGTGCATCTTGATGGCACCTGCAGCAGGCCACARGGGACAGCGTCACCCTGGGTGCTGGCGGCACCAGGGACACTGGGGTGCCATGCCCTGGCTGCACCGGGACACTGGAGTACCCATCCCTGGCACTGTTGGGATCACTGATGCAGGTACCCACCCCTGGCGTATCACTGGGCTGGCTTGGTTGTGCTGGGAATACTGGGGCTGCCCTCCCCCCACCACGGCTGTACCAGGATCACTGGGGTGCTCAGCCTTGGTTGTACTGGGAACACTGGGGGCACCCAGCCCTGGCTGTACTGGTGCCATGGGGGCTGACATCCCCAGCTGTACTGGGCTCACTGGTGGGTGCCCAGCCCATCTGATGGGAGGTGTGGGGCCACCCTGTACGGGGAGCAGGGGGGATCCAGCCGGGACTGCACTGGGAGCACCTGGAGCGGCCAAGCCCGGCCTGGCTGTACTGGGGACACTGGGACACCCGGGCCTGGTTCCTCTGTGCCCCTCGTCCCCTCGTGCGCCCTGCCCTGTCCCCGTGCCCACGGCCCCGGCGCCCACGCGCGTCCCCTTGGTGGCGACCACGAGCCGCKCCAACAGCGCGGGGCAGGGGGCGTGGCGGGAGCAGGGGCGTGGCCTGCCGCAATGGGCGGGGCTCTGGATGCTCCGCGGCTGAACTACAACTCCCGTCGTGCACAGCGGCTCCCGGCGGATGGCCGGGCGGGGCGKGACACGCAAGGCACGCTGGGCTCTGTAGTCCGCGCGCTCTGCCTTCCGCTCCCCCCCGCGCGAGACCGCCCTTCTGCGCTCCCCATATACACACATATATATCTCTATATAATATACACTGCCCATATACATATATATATAACATATACTGTCCATATACAGATATATATCTATATAACATACACTGTCTATATACAGATATATATCTCTATGTAATGTATACTGTACACGGCTTTGTCCCTAGGGGCGGGCGGGCGCGCKGCTGCTCACACACACAAAGACAGAGGCGGTGGTCCCATGCCAGGGCCCCTGGGACAAGCGGTGGCACCGGTGGCACAACATGGCACAGGGGACCGTCGGCGAAGCTTCGGGGACATCGGGGGTCTGGGCGCCCCCCGGGCACTCAGTCCTTGATGTTGGCCTCGGAGACTCCCTGGGCGAGCAGCTCGGCCAGCACGTTGTCCAGGTAGTTGGGGTCGGGGTAGCCGTGGCCCGTGAGGTTGGAGCCGAACTCCGTCTTGTGGTGGATCTCGTTCCACACCACGGTGTCCGACTCGCCCGTGGTGCTCGAGGTGCCCACGGTGAAGATGAGCCGCCGCTCCCAGGCCACGAGCAGCAGCTTGAGCACCTGCACAGGGACACGGCCGTGGCTCCCGCCGCGAGCTCAGCCCCGCCACGCGCCCGCCAACGCCGCCGCCGCCGCCRCCGCGCTCACCTTGCGGCCCTTCTCGGTGTCGGGCAGGTAGCAGTGCCGCGGGAAGCCGCGCGCCGTGAAGCGCTTGCCRGGGTTGGGGTGCTCGGGGCCCTGGCGGCAGGTACAGGGCTGAGCGGGCGCCCGCCGCGCGYGCCAGCCCCGCCGCGCGCCGCTCACCTGGATGCCCGTGGGGATGTCGTAGACGATGCGGATGGTCTTGGAGTCACTGTGGCCCGGCAGCGAGTGCGGGATGAGGTGGAACTCCATCTTCCCCGGCGGCTGCGTGCCCGTCTTCTCGCCGTAGATCGCCTTGCACGTGGGGCACTGCAGGCTGCCGTCCTGGGGGACAGCGCCTCAGGGACCAGCATCCCGTCCCCATGCCCCCACGGACACCAGCAACGTCCCAACAGCACCCACAGAGCATCCCACAGCACCGTCCCCGTGTCCCCATGGGCACCAGTGCTGCCCCAACAGCACCCACAGAGCATCCCGCAGCACCGTCACCGTGTCCCCACGGCACCAGCCCGGATGGCACCGGGAGCCAGTGACGGAGCTGCGCACGTCCAGCGGCGCCGGACTCACCTTGTTGCCGTTGCTGTACATGGCCACGAGGCAGAGCACGTGGTAGACGTGGCCACACTTGCCCAGCTTGCCCACCAGCTCCGCCTTGGTGCCCTTGGTGCTGAGGACGCCCTCGTAGCCCGAGGCGCTGCCCAGCCGCTCCATGCAGATGGTGCAGTCCTGCAGGTGCCACCAGTGGCATCARCGTCCCCGGGCACCACCAACCGCCCAGGGTGACAATGAGAGGCGCGGGGGGCATCTCACCTCATCCGGGGGGTTCTTCACCTTCTGGACGTAGCGGCGCACCACGTCCTCGGGGTTTTTGCCTGCCCAGGGAGAGAGGGCACAAAGGGACATCAGATCCCACATGGGCCGCAGCAGGTCTAGCCCGAGCCCCCATCCCCTCCCACGGCCACGGCAGGGATGTGGCCAAGGGGACACCAGGGAGYTGCTCTCCATCACACCCAGTGGTGCCCACGGTCCCGCCAAGGCCACTGCATGGAGTCCCGCAGCGCCCGTGCCTCGGTTCCCTCTCCTTACTCTTTTTGAGGTGCTTCTTCTTGGTCTTCCTGCAGATGCCGCTGACGCCGGGCACGGGTTTGATGTCGCTCTTGCTGACGGGCGGCGGGTGCAGGACGGGCTTGGGCGCGCGGGTGAGGCACACGGGCAGCCCCGCCGCGCACAGCAGGATGCCCGTCATGCCTGCGCCGAGACACGCCGTGACGCTGGGCAGTGCCGGGGCCGGCACCCGCATCCAGCACCGGGATCTGGCACCAGGATCCAGCCCTGGCACCAGCCCCGCCAGCCCCTTCTCACCTGCCAGGGCGGGATGCACCGGGCCAGTGCCGTTGAGGTTCTTCACCGGGAGGGCTGGCACCCTGCAGGGCACCAAGGAAAAGGGGGCTGAGCCCCAGCGCCGCTCAGGACGCCATCCCTGTCCCTGCACTGGTAGGTGTCACCCAGGGCTGCCCGCAGGGCCCGTGTGGCTCCCAGAAGCATCTCAGATGTTTTCTCCTCCTGCACCCCCTCAAGATGCCCTCCAGTCACCTCCTAGAAGGGAAGCTCATGTGTCTCCCCATGAGACACCCCCTGTTCAGCACCCTTGGGTGCCCTCCACCCTTCCACCCATCCTCCCTGGCCCAGCTACAGCTRCTCACAGGGATCCCAGGGGAGAGAGCAGGGCAGGCCAAGAGCATCCAGCTGTGCGGCTGTGTGTGCGCCTGTGTGTGTGACTGGGTGTGCAACACCAYGCACGCGGCTGTGCACGCGCCTGTGTGACCAGGTGTGCAAGTGTTGGCACGTGGCCATGACCGTCACTGTGCAACTGAGCGTGTGCTGCAGTGGGTGTACGTGCACTGCTGGGAGTGCAACACCGTGCCTGCGGCTGTGCGTGCGGCTGTGCGTGCAGCTGTGTGTGTGACCAGGTGTGCAACACCGTGCCTGCGGCTGTGTGTGCAGCTGTGTGCGCTCGGCCGCGCCAGCGCTGGCGAGGCCTCACTGCAGGTGGCTACGTCAGTTCTCCCCTCGCCCTGCCTGGACCCTGGCACCAGGATCAGGGGGAAGAGCCACTCGGCTTGGTCCCTTCCGCCRTCACCGCAGCGCTGAGTTTGGGGGTGCTCAGCCCTGCACGGCCCCGGGGGGCCCTCCCCGCTCCCKCAGCCCCCGCGGTGCCGTCCCCACTTACCCGGGCGGCAGCGCGGGCCGGGCGGCAGCGCCGCGGCGCCCGCCGGGCCGGTTGAGGTCGT